AAACAAAATACCTTCAATGTGCTACAAGCATGCAATACAAACAGTTGTTCATAACTAGAACTCTCCACAGGGAACATGGCTAATTTTCAGAAGGCGGGGTTGCAATAGAATACAAAAAGTGCTGATATTAGTCAGTAATTGCTTCCGTTACTTAAAGTGATGCTACCTGTCTTTAGGCAACATTGTGCAATTTCCTAGACAGCTCAGTTACAAACTCGTGTGATGGCTTCTCCCAAAGTAAGATTCACTCAGAATGCTTCCTCCTCCAAAAAAACGACTGTACCGGATCAGTTTCCTGGTGCTACAGGTATGCAAGTGAACAACTGGGAGTGCTGAAATCTAAAATTCAACTTAGAAGTACAAGAGAGGCCAGCACATGAAGAAGAAAGCAATATTATGATTTTAGGTGTGATGCTGGTAGTTCTGAAGGGTCAATACTTGAAATGCCAGCTAACCTTTCTCTTGCAGATATGGACTCAGCTAGTGTGCCTCTGAATTTCCTGTATTTTTCCTCTGCATAATTTTTTTTGCTGGGTAATAATTTCTTGCCAACATATAACAACATTGATAAATTCAGGTCCTATCAAACAGACATTAGAGATAACTCACTATTTTCTTAAGCTTACTAAAATTTTACCATGCTTACCTTATGAATTTTCTTTCCGCCCGAGGTCCAGTTAGTTGAGTTGTAGGATGAACTACTGTCCTGAGTTCCAGCGCTGTTCCACAGGCCAATTGAACCATCTTCTTCTTCTTCCCAGCTTGGGGGGCGGGTACTTGCCACAGTAGGTCGATCACCACCACCCCATCCATCTTGCATAGTTTTTGAACCTGAAGAAAAGATTGTTTCAGTATGGACTCATCCAGAACAAGTGGAAAAAAAAAACCATCTCAAAATCCATTATAGAAATACAACTCTCTGGTTGAATAAGACGGCGGCAGAGACGTCATTCTGGGAGACGGCACTGCAGTCACCACAGCCAGGGAGCAGATTGCAAAAGGCCACCCTCACTGATCAATGCGAGGAAGAGAATCAAATCAGAGGGCGGCAGAGAGATGTCACAGAGTAATTCTGGGAGGTAGCACTGCATATCTGAATGTCACAGAGGAAGTGGTGTCAAGGAGTGGTTGAACCTGAAATGCTACATTAGTGTAGTGATGCCCCAAGCACCCCCCACCTCCTCTAACCAAAACAAAAACACTGCAAAGAGGACAGGCAAGGTAAGACTTTTTTTTTAAAAAAAGAAAGGTGTACTAGGGTGGAGATGGCAGTTAGGGCAGCAGTATGCTCCCTCCTGTGAGATGTGGGAAATCAGGGAGCAGTCTAGTGTCCCTGACAACTACGTCTGCAGAAGTGTGACCACCTACAGCTCTTCACTAACTGCGTGGTTTGGTTGGAGAAGCAGCTGGACATACTGCGGTGCATACAGGGGGCAGAGAGAGTGATAGACACTACCTTTAGAGAAGTGGTTACATCACAGGTCCAGACAGATAGCTGAGACACTGCCAGGACAGGCAAACAGGTTGCGCAGGAGTCTCCTGTGGATATTCCCCTCTCAAACAGGCATACCATTTTGGATGGGAGGGGTGGGCTGGCTCTCATGAGATAGTACAAGCAGGAGCCAGGCCTGTGGCACCACAATTGGTTCTGCTGCACAGCTGGGTGGGTCAAAGTCCAGGCAAGCGATAGGTGATTCAATAGTCAAGGGCACATGCAGGCATTTCTGTGCCCATTAACGAGACTCTAAGATGGTTTGTTGCCTCCTTGGTGGCAGGGTTCTGGATGTCTCAGAGGGGGTACAGGACATCCTGAAACGGGAGGGAAAACAGACAGCAGTCATTGTCCACATTGCCACAAATGACATCAGTATGAAGAGGGAAGAGATCCTGCAAGGACAATTCACAGAGTTAGGTAGGCAGCAAAAAGGCAGGACTACCAGAGGAGTAATCTCAGGATTACTACCCGCAGCACAAGCTAGTGAGGCTAGGAACAGAGAGAGAGAGAGTAAAGTTGAACACGTGGCTAGAGAGCTGGTGTAGAAGGGGGAGGGGCTTTAGATATATGGATCATTGGGATGTCTTCTGGAGAAGGTGGGACCTGTACAAGGAGGACGGGTTGCGTCTGAACTGAAGTTGCACTAATATCCTGGGCGGGAGGTTTGCTAGAGCTCTTCAGGAGCGTTTAAACTAGTGTGGCCAGGGGTGGGAACCAGAACAGCAGGCTAGTAAGTGCAGGGACTCGGGACAAAGGAAAGACTGAGATATGCATAGCGCAGAGTAAGAGCAGGCAGACAGAAGTCACAGGGGTCAGAGGGACTGGAGGTCTGGAGTGCATTTACTTCAATGCAAGTAGTATAACAGGTAAGACAGATGAACTAAGAGCATGGGTTCAAAAACAAAGTTGCTGGAAAAGCTCAGCTGGTCTGGCAGCATCTGTGAAAGAGAAAACAGAGTTAACGTTTCAGGTCCGGTGACCCTTCCTCAGAACCAGACCTGAAACGTTAACTCTGTTTTCTCCTTCACAGATGTTGCCAGGCCTGCTGAGCTTTTCCAGCAACTTTGTTTTTGTTCCTGATTTACAGCATCCACAGTTCTTTTGGTTTTTATTAAGTGCATGGGTTACTGCATGGAATTATGATGTTATTGCCATTACTGAGACATGGTTAAAGGAGGGGCAGGACTGGCAGCTTAACATTCCAGGATATTGCTGTTTTAGACAAGACTGAAAGGGAAACAAAGGGGTGGGGGAGTTGCATTGCTGATTCGGGATCACATCACAGCTGTGTTGAGGGAAGATACATCTCAGGAATCTTGCAGTGAGGCATTATGGGTGGAGCACAGGAAAAGGAGGAGTCAAATCACAATGCTGCGAGTTTTCTACAGGTCTCCCAACAGCCCACGTGAGACAGAGGAGCAGATATATAGTCAGATACTGGAAAGGTGTGAAAAAAGCAGGGTAGTTGTGGTGGGTGACTTCAACTTTCCTCTTATTGACAGGGACTCCCTTACAGCCAGGGTCTCGGATGGAGAGCAATTTGTTAGATGTGTCCAGGAGGGCTGTGAGGCAGTATGCTGACAATCCAGAGAAGAGGCCACACTAGTCTAGGTACTAGGGAATTGTCTAGGTACTAGGGAATTAGCCAGGACAAGTGATCAATATAGGACAGCATTTTGGACTTAGTGACCATAACTCCATAAGTTTTCAAGTCGTCATGGACAAGGACAAGAGTGACCCTCGGGTGGGGGTGCTTAATTGGGCATGGGCTAATTACATCCAAATTAGACAAGAACTGGGGGATGCGGATTGGTAGCAGTTATTTGAGGGCAAATCTATGTCTGGCACGTGCGAGGCTTTTAAAAACCAGTTGATTAAAATGCAGGACGTGCATGTCCCTGCAAAATTGAAGGATAGGAATGGCAGGATCCAGGAACCATGGATGACAAAGGAAATTGTAAACTTAGTCAAAAGGATAAAGGAAGCATATGATAGGTCTAGGCAGCTGCAAACTAACAAAACCCTTGAGGAATATAGAGAAATTAGGAAGGCTAAAATGGGTCAATAGCAAACCAGGGTCAAGGAGAATCCCAAGACTTTTTATACACATATTAGAAGAAAGAGGGTAACAAGTGAAAGAGAAGGCTCCCTCAAGGGCAAAGGAGGGAAGTTATGTATGGAGCCACAGGAAGTGGGAGACATCCTTAATAAGTACTTTGTATCATTATTCACCAAGAGAAGGACATGACTGATGTTGAGGTCAGTGCTACGTGTATGAATACTCTAGAGAATGTCAATATATTAAAAGGAAGTAGTTTTGGATATCCTAAATTGCATTAAGGCAGACAAGTCCCCAGGGCCAGATGGGATCTATCCCAGGCTACTGCAAGAGGCAACGGAAGAAATAGCTGGGGCATTAGCAGATATCTTCACATCCTCCTTGACCACAAGCGAGGTTCCAGAGGACTGGAGATTAGCCAATGTTATTCCCTTGTTAAAGAAAGGAAGGAGGGATAATCCAGGAAATTATTGGCCAGTGAGTCTGACTTCCGCGGTGGGGAAGCTCTTGGAGAAGATACTGAAGTACAGGATATACACACATTTGGAAGGAAATGGACTAGACAGCGACAGGCAGCATGGTTTTGTACGGGGAAGGTCTTGTCTCACCAACCTGATCGAATTTCTTGAAATAGTGACAAAGATAATTGATGAGGGAAGAGCTGTGAATGTAATTTATATGGACTTTAGTAAGACATTTGATGACGTCCCACGTGGCAGATTAGTACAAAAGCTAAAATCACATGGGATTCGGGGTGGGCTGGCTAGATGGATACAAAACTGACTTGGTCATAGAGGACAGAGGGTAGCGGTAGAAAGGTGTTTGTCAGAATGGAGACTGGTAACTAGTGCTGTTCCACAGGGATCAGTCTTAGGTCTTCTGTTCTTTGCAGCACATATATATGATCTGAAGGAAAATGTGGGTGGTCTGATTAGGAAGTTTGCAGATGACACAAAGATTGGAGTTGCTGACAGTGCCGACGATCGTGAAAGGATACAACAGGACATAGATAGATTGGTGACAGGCACAGAAATAGCAGGTGGAGTTTAATCCATACAAATGCAAGTTGATGCACTTTGTAGGATCAAATTTAGGTGTTAATTAGACTGTTAATGGCAGAACCCTTAGGAACATTAACATATAGACTGATCCGGGTGCGCAGGTCTACAGTTCCCTAAAAGTGGCAACACAGGTGGCCAAAGTGATTAAGAAGGGATATGGCATGCTTACCTTCATCAGCCAGGGCATGGAATACAAGAGTTGGCAAAACAAGTTGCAGCTATATAAAACCCTTGTTAGGCCGCATTTGGAGTATTTGTGCAGTTTTGGTTGTCACATTACCAGAAGGACATGGAAGCTTTGGAGAGAGTGCAGAGAAGGTTCACCAGGATGTTGCCCGGTCTTGAGGGCATTGACTATGAGGAAAGGTTAAGAAGACTAGGGTGGTTTTCACTGGAAGGACGATGGCTGAGAGGAGACCTGATGGAGGTCTACAAAATTATGAGAGGCATAGATAGGGTGGATAGACAGAGGCTGTTCCTTCCCAGGGTTGAAGTTTCAATTTCAAGGTGAGAGGGCAAGAGTTTAAGGGAGATGTGCTAGGGAAGTTTTTCACGCAGAGCGTGGTAGGAGCATGGAATATACACTGCTGGAGGTGGTGGTGAAAACAGGCACGTTGGCAACATTTAAGAGGCATCTGGATGGTGACAAGAATAAGGAGGGAATCGAGGGATATGGATCGAATAAGGGCAGAAGGTTGGTTTTTTTAAGTTTAGTCAGGGCACGAGGATCGGTTCAGGCTTGGAGGGCCAAAGGGCCTGTTCCTGTGCCGTACTTCTCTTTTGTTCTTTTGTGTTCTTAGCCATTCAAGGAGGTGAATAACAGAGGTGCAGAGTACAGAGGCTAATGGTCTGAACTGAGTTCAGCTGATCAAAACACGTGGAGAAGAGGAAAAACTGGAGTAAAGAAACTTCCTCCTATGCATGATGAACTAATTAAGACGTTCTTTAAGAAAGGCAGTCAGCTAGGAAATAATGTAATACAGAAAAGTAAACATATAAAAGGGTTTAAAAAATCAGCTAAATACCATAACGCTTTTAAAATATTAATTCAGTACCTTTAATTTAGTACTTGTATGTTCAAGAAAGGATTAGCAAGTTATCAGAAATTCCTAGCCTCATTGATGTAACTGGGTTACTGTCATTATAATTGAGTACAAGCTGACAATTGGATTCTGAAACCCATTGAAAAATGATCAAGACATTATGAATAGATGTC